CCAGCGTGCGGTTTCTCAGCTCGTTAATCCATTACCGACCGCTTTCTTAATACACCAACTATTTTTTCCTGTGGTTTCCATGCGTTTCTCCCCCTCCCTGGCAGATCCTCAGCTCCCCCTCACGTCTCTCCTGCTTTTTTCCCAGGGCCCCAGGCGGGATGTGAAGCTGGTGGGGGACGGATCCGGGTGGAAGGATCCCGGCGCTCCCTCTTCCCTCGGCCAGAGACTGCAAACCCTCCCTGGCAGGGCCCAAGGGACGGGGGGATGTGCCCCCAGTGGGACCCCTAGCACCGGGAAGCGACGGGCTGGACGGTGTTGGACTGTCACGGGGCGGTGCCAGTGGCTGAGGTGACAACTGTGGCGCTGAGCAGGACGCTGGAGATGCTGGATTTGGGATGGTGGATCCTGCTTGGACGTGGCCGGAGATGGAGAGGTCCAGCTCCCGAATCCGCCGGCTCTTCTGGTTTGGAGCAGCACCCGTTGCCTCCCTCCACCCTGCCTTTCCCGAGGCTTCAGCTGGAGCATCCTGGATGCTGTGGGGGGGCTCCCCCCAGCCCTGACTTGCAACTCAAACCCTCACACTGTGAATATTTAAAATCCCCCACCCCGTGCCCGTGTGGGGCCGGGTTTGGGGGTGACCCTTGGCACCGTCCCTGTTCCCATCCTCCTGCCACTCCGTGTCCGAGCTGGCCTCGGCCTCGCCCTCCTTGGGGGCTGTTTCTGACAGAGCTGATGAGAGTTTTTATCCTGCACAAGTATTTTGGAGGGGCCCCCTTTGCCCCTCACGGGGTCTTCGCCACGAGCTGGACTCGCCGGGATCCCGTTCCTGCGCTCGGAGAAGGGAATGGGGCCGGGAAGGACGGGATCCACGTGGGCCTGAGAGATGGAGCAGCCCCAGCCGCGCCCCCCAGGGGGGCTTTTTAAGCTCAGCTGGATTTGGGAAGAGCCTGGTTTGGGATGCACCAGCCTTGGAGACCCCCTAAAATCCAGCGGCTCCGTCCGGCCCCGGGTGAAGCGTGGCCTGAGCTGCTCTGGGGGTTTGAAGTGTTATTTTTTTTCTGGGAAGGATGAAAATATGGACAAACCAAACTGCTTTTAAGGAAAAGCATCGCTATTAATTTGGGGGTTTTATATATTATGTGTATTTATGAGTGACAGAGGAAGGGGGTTCCTGCGTGAGGGACTGGTGTAAAGCAGGAGGAAAGCCCTGATGCAGCAGGAAGGCCGGGGCCAAACTCCTGCTTGTGGTGTAAATTTACACCGTGGAGGAGCCGATCCTGGAGGGGGAAAACTTGCCTTTACCCCCATTGGATTGAATTTGCCTTTTTTTTTTGTTTGTTTTGTTTTGTTTTGTTTGTTTGTGGGTTTTTTTGTTTTGTTTTTTATACAATGAAATGTTGAAATATTTTATACAAAGGCATTTAAAAAAAATCTATTTAAAGAAAATAATGGAAAACCAGCTTGTATATTTAATATTATTAATAAACAGAGAGGTGTAGCTCGGTGTAAGTGAGGGGGGGGGTGGAGCCTGTGACACCCCTCCTTCCCCCCGGGGTCCCTGAGGGGCAAAGTCCTGGGTTGTGTCACCGTGCCCTGATGCCCTGTGGATGCACAGGGGAGTTCATGGCCACTGGAACGAGGGCAGAGGGATGGGATGGGATGGGATGGATCCATCCTTCCTGCCCCCGGCACTGGGAGCTGCAGGCACCGGATCTGCTGCTGGGGCCCCCCCAAAAAATCTACGTGGAGCAGCTGCCTAAAGCAAACACACTTGAGGCAAAAGTTTCCTGGAGCCGCTTTGCTCGGAGAGACGGCGCTGGAAGAGGCATTTCCTTCCTCTCCCTCAGCCCCCTTGGCTCCGCTTCCCTCTTTCCAGGAGTGGGGGAGCCCCATGTCCCATCCCCTGCGGGGATCCAGCCTTTCCTGGGGGATCCTGGGGCTTCCACCTCATCCTGAGCCGCTCCCAGCTGCTGGGGGGTGCGGGGTGACCCTCCCGTTGCTCATCCCCGAGGAGGGGGGGATGTTGGGAAGGGCAGGATGGGATCCAGGAGCGTTTGTGGGTGTTTGTTTGCTGACAAACAGGATTCCTCGAGGGGAGCTGAGTCAGCCCAGCTCTTCCTCTCCTCAGCGGCAGCCGGGGGTTTCCCAGGTCCACATCCCCTTCCCAGGGAAGTGGGACCTATAAATATCCTATAAATAGCCCTCTGGATCCGGGCCACCATCATTATGGTCGGATTTGGGGGGGTATTTGAGGTCAGAGGCTGCTCTTAGGGGTGGGCAGAGTGCCCAGATTTGAGGGTGCTGGGGGCAAACAGCCCCTTCCCTGCTCCGGGATGCTCCAGGCAGCTCCAGGTGGATGCTGCCCAGGAGAGGGTGTTCCCTCTGGAGCTTAAAGCTTCGGGAGAGCTCGGGGTTTACACCCCACAGTCCCTCAGCCCCAGCTTTTTCTGGCTGTTTTGTGCAGCCCAAACCTGTAGAAGCAAACGTGGAAAATGCAGTAAGAAAGCAAAAGTAAAAGCCTTTCTCCTCATCCTGGGGTTCAGACTGGGAGGGTCCTCCGTGCCTCTCGTGTCCCCAGCCTTTCCCCCACCCTACCCCCGACCCGAGTGGGAGCAGAGAGGAGATTCTGTGCCCCAGGCCCCTGTGATTTGGGAGGGTAAAACCTTCTCTGACCCCCCCACACACACTTTGGGGATCCCACAGCTGGGGGGGGGACACCGAGTTGTGTCCCTGTCTCCCTCCACGCGTGTAGGGAAGGGTGGAAAAGAAACCCCCGTGCCAGGGTTGAGTGACAACAGGGGGTGGTGGCACCCCGGGTGTCCCAAATGGGTGTTTGTGCCTTAAAAAGCTGCTTTGACGGGGTGAGAAAAACGGGATTTGGGGGGAAAAGGTGGATGCTGGGAGGGAAAGCGGCTCCTGGGACTTGGAGCGAGGGCTGGCACAGGACGGGACAAGGCGGGACGGGCTGGGGTCGCCCCGGGGGTCCCCAACATCCCTGGTATCGGCAGGGCTGGGACCTCCCAGGCTCATCTGGGACCTCCCCTTCCCCCCAGGCACCCTGAGACCACCCCAAGAGCCCCCCCCAAGCGCCTCGCGAGCCCCCCGAATGCCCCGAGCGGGCCGTGCCCACCCTGGGAAGCGTCCCCGGCGCGGCCGCGGGCACCGCAGAGCTGCTGACGGGGCAGGAGCGCCGGAAAGGCCCGGGGGCTGCGGCTCCGGGGGCACGGCCGGGCCGGGACAGGGGTTTGGCCCGGGAGCCGCTGCAGGATTTTGGTGGCCAGAGAGAGCGTTTTGCGGCCAGACGGAGCGATTTTGGTTAAAAGCCCTTATCTGTACTTCCCCCTCTTCCCTCCCCCCCCCCTCGGGGTTTAAAGCCAAGTGCTGATGTTTGCCCGGCTTGTGCTTTTTCAGGGAATGCCCTTGGGAAAGAGGGGCTCGGCCCCCCCCGTGCTGTGTGTGGGGTCGGGTCAGGGTGCCCCGGGGTCAGGGGGTGCCTGTGCTGGGACAGGGGCACAGCGGGGCCCCAGAGCCCCTTTGGGGACCCTACAGATGGGGCCCCTCGGTGTCCATGGTGGGGTCAGGGCTGAGCCTGCCCGGGGTCCGGGGGGCTGAGAAACCCCCCACGGCTGGGCACCCACTTCTTTGATTTAACTAAGAATCAGGCTAATTAATCGAATTTATTTGATGAAAATATTGATAGCTAAACGTATATAATGTATGCGTAATGTACGTGTAATTACGTAGTGTTTATGTAATTATTTATTAAATTATTACAATTAAATAATATAATTTAATAAAATGATATGTAAATATTTATTTTAATAAGTTATATAAATTGAATAATATTTAATAACATTAAATAATAAAATTAATTAATATAATTAACATATACATTTAGATCTGATTTATATAAAATTATATAATTAATTTATATAATTTTTGTATTTTTTGTATACAACTAATAAATATAAACATGTGTAACTATTTTAATTTACACAATTGCTATATATTATTATACATACAATTATTATTATATAATTTATTCAATTATATACAACTGATCGTTGATTATTAAAATTAATTAAATTATTTTATAAATCCACATACACATTTAATTTATATATTTATATTTAATTTAATTCCTGTAATAGTTTATAAAAACCCCAATTATTTAATTTATATAGTAATATATATTAATAAACGATGTTGATATAATTTCTTTTAAATTTCTATTATAATTTTATTTAATTCACATAGTTTAATAACTATTAGATATGTATTTATGCATATAATTATAGTATACATAACTATATTATACATTGTATATATAGCATATAATTATAGTATTTCTATTATATACAATATAAAGTATATATATACTAATACGTAATATATATTATATATTGTAATATATATTATATGTCATTATATATGATATATACAATATTTAATACATGATTATAGATTATATATTATATATGACATACATCATATATGTAATATATAATGCATTATGAATATATTATATTATATTATATTATATTATATTATATTATATTATATTGTATTATATTATATTATTATATTATATTATATTATATTATATATAACTATAAATATTAAATATAAATATATTATTTAGAAACATAGAAATATATTATAAATATATAAATAAAATAAAATAAAATAAAATAAAATTCATATATGACGCTTAATTATATAATTTTTATATATAAATTTAATTAATATAATAATTCTATTTAATTCCGATTCTGACCGGTGAATATTTCTATGACCACGCCCCCACCTCTGACCACGCCCCACATCTGACCACGCCCCCAACTGTGACCACGCCCCCGTCCCCTCCTCTCCCTCCCCTCCCCGCTCCGCCAGGGGGCGCCACGTCCCCCGCCCGCTCCTCCCGCCGGCGCGGCGCGGCCTCACCTGCCCGGCGGGTGCGCGGTGACGTCAGCGCGCGGTGACGTCAGGCGGCCCCGCCCCCGGCGCGGCGGCCGCAGTCCCGCCGCAGCCCCCGGAGCGGAGGGACCGGAGGGCTCTGAGGGGACCTGGGAGCCCTGAGGGGTCTGAGGGACCGTGAGGGACCCGCCGGCACACGCCGCCCGCAGCCCGCCCCCGCGCTCCCACGGCCCCGCCGCGCCACCATGTCGGTGCCGGAGCCCGCCGGCGGCGAGGAGAAGCAGGCCAAGGAGGTGGAGGACGCCGAGAAGTATTCCTTCATGGCCACCGTCACCAAGGCGCCCAAGAAGGTAGCGGGGGCGGCGGGCACGGACAGGGGCAGGCCCCGGGTGGGGGGTGGGAACAGCCCCCTTTTGGGAGGGCAGACCCCCGGTGATGGGGGAGAGCCCCGGTGATGGGGGAGCAGCCCCGGTGATGAGGGAAAAGCCCCCGGGGGTGGGGGAGCAGCCCCGGTGATGGGGGAGAAGCCCCAGGGGTGGGGGAGCAGCCCCCGGTGATAGGGGGGTGTGCTTGGAAAGCCATAACTGGTCCAGTTTGGGGTAACTGGGAAGGGTGGGCTGTGCCCCTTCAGTGGAGGGGATGGGCACTGGTACCATCAAGGTGGTCTGGGGGCAGCAGGTACGAGCTGGGAAGGGGCAGAGATGCCCAGCGGGGCTGCTGGCCCAGTTTGGGGTGGGAGGAGAGGGGTTTGGGTACTGGGGACAGAGGGGTCTGTACTGGGGGTGAGGGGAGGGCTGGTTTGGGGGGGCTCTGGGGGGCACAGAGCGGGGCTCGGCTGTGCCACAGGGGTGTGTGGGGACAGGGTGACCCCTGTAAGGGTCGGGGGTCCCTGTGTGGGACTGTGGGGTGACAGGGACAGAGCAGGGCAGCCATTCAATGGGACGAGCCCTGGGATCTGGCTGTGGGTCACTGGGAAGGGCAGCACCGGGAACTGGGGGGCTTGGACTTATTTTGGGACGGGGGGGTGTGTTGAGGGTGTAGGTGGGAGCAGGTTTGGGCTTGGGAAGGGGCTGCTGGTGCTGAGCTCTCCCGAGTCACCCCTGAACCCTTCCATCCTTGAAGGCCTGGAAGGAGCTCTGGGCTCTTCAGCCCCTTCCTCCCCAAACCTCCCCAGTCCCGGCGCTGCTCCCGAGGGATGCACGGGTGGCACTGAGGGTGGGCAGGACCCCCCACTGACCCGGGTAACCCCTCTCAGCAAGGGGGAGAGCTCCCAGCCCTGTGCTCCGGGCTCGGGGCTGAATTCCCGGCGTTCCAGGAGGCAGATCCGTGCTGGGATCCATGTTGGGATCCGCCGTGCTGAGCATCGCGTTCCCCTCGGGGCTGCAACAGCCTGCGAGTGGTGGGGGAATGGCAGGGAATGGGAACATCCTCCCCCTCTGTGGGAATCTGCTCCAGGTGGGCTCAGGGAGCTCTGCCCCTCGGGGAAGGTCGGCTGGGTTGGAAGCACCTCCTCACCCAGGGAGTTGGAGGCTCCTGTTTATCCGGGACGTGGACGTAGCCTGGAGGAAGGAGCAGAGGAATGTGGAGCTGGGATCTTGTGTCTTCCGAGCTCAGGGGTTGTCTGTACCTTTTCATAACCGTCCTCTTTGTCAGAGTGGGGGGACAGCAAACCCCAGAGCACCCAGGGGGCCAAAGCAGGTGAAAAGGAACCGATGCAGCCCCCTCAGAGGCAGAAGCTGTGGTGGCTGAGAGGTGGGGGGTGTTTTGTCCCCCCCCAGATTCGCAGCTGGTTGTTCAGGGAGAGGAGCCCCACTGGGCTCGGCAGCTTTTCCCTTTTCCTGGCCGGGTGAGGATGTTGGAGGTGCCCAGAGCGACACCCGACATTTGAGCTGATAACATCAGCAGGCAGAGAGGGCTGTGCTTGGCCACAAATCGCTCGGGGCCACTGTTTTCCTTGCCTGGCTAATTCCTGCGAAGAGCTGGGGAAGGGCAGAGGCGTTGGCAGGAGGATGAAAGGCCGGGGCAGGACAGGAGAATTTTGCCCTCCTGAGATAAGCTGAGTGCCCCCAGCTCCGCTCCTGGAACAGCAAGCGCAATTAAACCATTAAAGCTCCTTTCTGCTTCCACCAGAAGTGACTTTGGTGTCAGAGGCTGGTGGAGATGGTGGGGGGAGATGATTCCCAGCATGGGGAGCAGCTGGAGCAGCTCCCTCCCGGCTGTTTGGGGCTCCCTGAGCGTGGCCAACGCGCTCTGCGGGCAGGGTGGGAATGTGGCCAAGCTCGGGGCAGGCTCCCTCTCCCCCCTGTGAATGGCTTTTCAGAGGAGCCTTAACTTGTGCTGGAGCTCAGGGAAAGTGCCAGTTTGGGCACTGGGAGCTGGGGGAGCGCCTTGGATGCAGCTGGAAGCTGTGGAGGAGCTCCTTGTTGGGGTACCCGGAGCTGGGATCCAGCCCCAGGGATTGCTGACGTCTCCCTTGTCAGGAACTTGTTTGAGGTGAAAAAGTGAAGCAGCAGGAGGTAAGAGATGAAATATGATCATCCCCAGGTTGAAGCAGGAGCCGGTGAAAGGTGAATGGAGGGGTGGGGGTGAGTTCCTCCCAAAATTTGGCATTGCCTGGCTCTGCCAGAGCTCCCCTTTCCCCTATAGTTCTTCAGGATTGGGCTGTCACAGCTTGCTGGGAGCGGGGTTGTCCTTTGGTGGTCTGCAGGCAGGGGTGGGCCATGCTGAGCTTCCCCCCTTGTCCCGCTGGGGAAGGCTGGGAATGCTGGGGGGGGGCTGGATGGGGCTGGGGGAGCTCAAGGGCAGGCCCTGCCCCTCCCCATCCCCCTGTGCCGTCCCTGCTGGGGCTGGGCATCTGCTCCCCTGCCTCCCTGGAGACTGCAGGTGCCCTTGGCAGCACTTGCTCTCCCGAGCCGTGCCAGTGGAGCCCTAAATCCCTGGGCAGGCCGAGCCGTGGGTGCCCTGGGGCGGGAAGGACGAGCTGTGGGAAGGATGCAGGGCAGGGGGCACTCGGGGCTGTCCCCGTCACCTCCCCGTGCTGTGTCCTCCCCCCCGGGCTCCCCCACCCTGGGGAACCCTGCAGGGCTGTGGAAGGGGCTCTGGGGTGGTCCCTGTGCCCCGGGGGGGGTGTGGGGGGCGCGGGGTCCCTGCGGATGCCGGCGCCGCTCCCGCTCCGGAGGGATCCCCCGCGGAGCCGTGGCAGGGAATGCTGATGCTCCGCGCTGCAGCTCTGCGGTGCCAGCCGGGCACTGCCTGCCTGGGAGGGAGCAGGGGGGGATGGAGCCCCTGGGCAGGGCTGGGTGTCCCCTCTGGAGCCTCCATCCCGGAGCCGCTGACTTTGCCGCATCCCAGCCCCTTCCAAAGACCTTTTTTCTGCCCCGTTTTGCTCAGGTCCTGCAGCTCAGCCAGGCCGGGGGATAATAAAACCACCTTCCCCCTGGGCCTGCCAGGGGGACGGGACTGTCCTTGTTAGTCCTGACAGAGCTCCCAGAGCCGCCCGTTTTTCCTCTTCCTTTTATTCCATTCCTTAGTCTGGGTGTCCATAAATCCTCGGGGCCTTTATGAGCCTGCCTGGGGTCGTGGCCACCACCTCCTGTCCTGGCTGTTCCACAGGCTCCACACACCCGGCTCTCCTTGATCCCTGCCCAAAAATCCTCGCTTCCTTGGCTCCTTTGCTCCATCCCTGCGGTTTTTCCTTCTCAGGATGAGGTGCTGGGGTTGGGATGGGCTGGACAGCTCATCCTCCTTCCTATGGATAACCTGGGATGTGCCTGGCCTTCCTTGGGGTGCAGGAAAACCCTAAAGAATGAAGGTGTTGCTGTGTTAGAAGGTGCCAGGCTGAGCTGGTGGCAGCCTGACCCAGAGCAGGGCAGGGAGGTGTTTGGGGTGCAGGGGATTTCCTGGGGTTGGCAGCAGCCAGGCCCCCCCTCTGTGCTGTGGCACACGACAGGAATGCTCTGTTTTCCTCTCCCAAGTTGTTTCTGGGTCCTTCCTATCGCTCTGGTGTTTTGGGGGGGGTCTCTCCTGGCTGTGCAGAGGGCAGGTTTGTCCCAGTGACCAGCACTGCTGCAAGGCCAGAAGGTGCTTCACTGATTGTTGAGCTGGAGAGCAGGACACAAGGAGATTTTTGGGGTTTTGATGGGCACAAACCGCCTTCAAAACATTCCAGGGCTCGCTGCATCCCTGAGAGAGGCCAGGTTCCCACTCCACATCTGCCCTTTGGAGGTGGGACAGCAGTTGGAGGTGTTTGTTCTCCCCAGCCTTTCGTCACCTTTCGATTGGGTGGGTGTGTGGAGATCCCCCCCCTTCCCGTGGGAGCAGCCAGGTCTGGGCATGGGAATCGTGCTGCTGGTGTTTTCCTGGGCCTGGCATTTTGGGGGAGTTCTGTCTGTGCTGGGGACCAGCCCCCCACAGCAATTCCGTGGGGACCTGAGCAGTTTCCAGCCCGTGCAGGTTTTGGAGGGAGTGGCTGCGCTCCTTCTAAGAGGTTGAAACTGGGTTATTTTGGGTTTTTTTTGCTCTGGAAAACAGGTTCTCAGGGTTCAGGTTGGAGTTGCTCCTTTGCAGGTGAGGATTGTGTCCGTGTTGCTCCTCTGAGGGGTCGGTGGGTGCCTCATCCCAGCTGCTGGAGCAGGGAAGGGCCGGGATTTCAGGGATATTGTCTGTGGTTTGGTCACCTTTGCAAAGGGCTCCTCGTGTTTCCTGCTGAGCCCTTTGGTCAGAGCTGCTTATCTGGAGCCTCTGGCTCACCTTCACTCAGCACGTGGTGGTGACATCCCAGGTGAACGTCCCAGGACCTGCTGGTGGCCTCGGGGGATCGTGTGGAGGAACCTGTGCCAAAACTTCTCCCTCGGTGGATCAAAAGGAAGGGCTGGGAGGAGGGTCAGGGAGTCCCACCAGGGAGCAGCATCGTGGTGACCTCTCAGCAGGCTCTGGGGAGCTTCTTCTCAGGGCACTTGACAATTCCAGGGCTTGGCCCCCCTTGGCAGCGCTGGAATCTGCTCTGCATTGTCCCCCTCTGCCCACATCAGCTCCATAGGCTTCCCTGGCATGGTAAACCTTGGGAATGGCTTGGCTCTGGAGCTCTCTTCCAAGGAAAAAGCTGCTGTGGTTTGGGAATGCTTTGGGTTGGAATGGACCTGAAAGCCCATCCAGTCCCACCCCCTGCCACGGGCAGGGGCACCTTCCACTATCCCAGGCTGCTCCAAGCCCTGTCCAACCTGTCCTTGGACACTCCCAGGGATGGGGCAACCACAGCTTCTCTGGGCAACCTGTGCCAGGGCCTCCAAGGGCAGAATTTGGGGTGTTTTTTTGGGCTCTGTGCCCCTGGGAAAGCTGAGGAAGCTGTTCC